ATACAGATTTAATTTTACATTGAAGGGAAGAGCCTCGATCCAGGGCCTGTTGTGCAGGGACAAGAGGGTTTGGTCTCAACCTGAAGGATTAAGATTTAATTTTTCATTGAAGGGAAGAGCCTCAATCCAGGGCCTGTTGTGCTGGGACAAGGGGGGTGGTCTCAACCTGAAGGATATGTGTCCATATAGATATGAATTAGTATTAGGAAGGATTTTTTCGATAAGAGGGTGGTGAGGCCCTGGCACAGGGTGCCCAGAGAAGCTGTTGGATCCCTGGAAGTGCCCAAGGCCAGGCTGGACAGGGCTTGGAACAACCTGGGCTACTGAAAGGTGTCCCTGCCCATGGCAGGGGGTGGCACTGGATGATCTTTGAGGACCTTTCCAACTCAATATATTCTATAAAAAATGCCCACTCCCCTCTGGGCTCCCCGAGGAGGGGTCTGCGGGAAGGAGCCGGCTTGGCGGTGTCGCTGTCCCCGCCGGGGCCGCGGGCGGGCTTTAGGACCCGGCCGGGTGTGACACCGCCTGTCCCTTCCCCTCCCAGCCGCGCTCCTCACTCGGGACTTTCTCCAGCTTTTATTTATTTTTTTTTTTCATTATTATTATTTTATTTAATTTTTTTAAATTGGCGCGTGTGCATGGGAGGGAGGCGGGGGTGAAAACCGAGTTGTCTCTTTTTTTTTAATTTTTTTTCCTTATTTATTTATTTATTTTCGGCGGGGGAAAATAAATAAAGAACTCTGCCCCCCTCCCCCGTCGGCGGCGGGCGCGGGGAAGGCGAAGGCGCGGCGATGGTGCGGACGGGATGAGCGGCGCGGCCATGGCAGCCCGGCGGCTCTTCCACCTCCAGCCCTGCGGTGAGGGACAGGGCTCCGGGGGGGCTCTGGGGACACCGCGGTGTCCCCCTGCCACCCCCGCTTGCCACCCCGGCTTTTGCTTGTGGCAGCAGCGCAGGGGTCGCGGCGGGATGCGGTGGGCTTGGAGGGAGATGTGTTCTGGTTTTTCCTCTTGGGATCGGGGGTGGGAAAAATCTTCCCTTTGCATCTGCTGAAGGCTTTTGGGGTTGTTGTTTTGGTTTTGTTTTTTTTTTTTGTGTTGGTGACACCCCTAAAGTTGAGCTGCTTGGGCAGAGCGGGATGTTCCAGCGCCGGGGATGCGGTGGGACAGGAGGAGCGGGGGGAAAAGGAGCGATGGAAGCTCGGGGTCCGGCTGTTCTTGGGGGTGTTTTATGCCCCAGTTTTACTTTTACTTGTTTGCACCCAGCATGGGGCGGAAGGCACGGTGTGGTGCCCAGCTCTGCTGAGCGGATGAGGTTGCCTGATTTCGTGTTGGTGTAAAAACCGCAATAAAAAGGAGGGGTGAAAAAAAAAAAGTAGAAAAAGCGAAACTTTAATGCGAAGAGTTGGAGCAGTTGTGCGTGCGGGGAAAGACCACCAGCAACGAGTTAATCTGAAATGCGGGGGGGAGGAAGGGTTTAAATGCGCTTGGGAATTGGCTGTCTGATTTCGGGTGAACTTTCAGAGTTATTTTGTGCGGTGTCCCCTCGCTGCCTTGCAGAGGAAGCGCTTCCTTCACCGGCATGGCCGCGGCAGCGCCGGGTGACACTGCCTGGAGTGACAGGGACCGCTGCAGGGACTTCTGTGTTGGACCAGAAGTGACTGTAGGTGGCACAGCAGCTTTGTCACCCGTGCTGTCCCCGGACCTCTGGTGAGGATCGGTGCTCGGGGTGGGTTTGTGCCTCCGGAGCTTTTCCCGCTCCGGGTTAATGGAGAGGTTTTCATTTAGAGCTGATGTTCTGCCTTAGAGCTCGGCTCTGCTGCTTTTCCACGGCCGTGTTGGCATTCTTGAGACCTGGCGGTGGTGTGGGCTGTCCTGCAGGAATAGAAAATCATGGGAAGGTTTGGGCTGTCCTGCAGGAATAGAAGGTTCGGGTTGGGAAGACATTAAAGTCCATCTCATTCCACCCCGGCCATGGGCAGGGACACCTTCCACTGTCCCAGGTTGCTCCAAGCCCTGTCCATCCTGGCCTTGGATGCTTCCAGGGATCCAGGGGCAACCTCAGCTTCTCGTTGCGGATTTGCACGTGGAGAATCCAAGGGAATTTTCCCCTTTGCCCCGAGTTGTTTCAGTGTTTGTAGGATTTCTCCTGGATTGTCTGTAGGTGCGAGCGCAGCCTTGTCCTCCTCTGCCAAACTCCTGCTCCTCAAGTGCTGGAGCACGTTTGACCCAGGATTGAGTAAATCCAGCTGTGCCTCACCTGGGTTACTGCTCTTGGGTTTGTGGCTGCTTTTTTGGGTTTTTTTGGGAGGCTGGAAGAGCGAGGCAACACTTGGAGTCCTGTCTGCACAGCAACCTCAGTCATTGCCACCCCCCTGCGAGCCGCGCGTCGCTGCTTCCCGGCTGTAATCGGGATTTGTTGGCTAATCCATCTCAGCCAGAGCCCTCCAGTTTTGAAATATCTGTGGCTTTTGTACAGTTGGTGCTCCGTAAGAATGATGGACCGCAGAGGAAGTTCCCCTCCGGCTCTCCTGTTGTTCCTTGGCAATTTGAATGCTTCAGCTTGTTTAAATAAATGCAGATAAAAAGAAGGGTTGGGGTTTTAACTGGAGCCCTCGCTTGACCCACCCGGTGGCATAAGATATCTGTGTGTAATCTCAGAGTGTCTTGACTTCTAGTAAAGCTGTAGTAAATCATTTGAGGCTGTAAACATTTATTAAAACAAGCTTTATTTTTGTGTTGAGTCAATGTGAAAACAAAGATGTCTTGGGTTTCAAAGGGAAAGGATCCGCAAGGGAAGCTTTCTGCCCTGGCTTAAAGGAAAGTGTCAGTGAGAAGTTGGATATTTCAGCAGAAGGGAGCTGAGGTAAGAGTTAGGGTCAGATTTTTAGCTTCAGAGTTGGAATTTGATCCAGAATTATCAGACTTAGCCTGGTGCTGTTCAATTTGCGTGCTTGCTGTTTGGTTTGTTCTTTCTTGCAGGAGGCAGCTGAGGTAAGAGTTAGGCTCAAGGTCAAGCTTTAGTTGCAAAGTTGGATTTTAGTCCTGAATTACCCAGCTTAGCCTGGTGCTGTTTTACTTGCCTGTATAAGACTAAAACCTCCAATTCTGTCCTGGCAGAACTGCACTGATGCTCTGCATAGGTACTTTATGCCTAAGGGCAGGTGTTAAATCACATTAACTGGGGAAAGCTGCTTTTTTGGGGTTTTTTTAGTCATTCTAATACTGTGCTGTGATTGAGGTGTCTCTGGGAAGCCACAGAGTTCCCAGAACCTTTCTGTTGCAGTGGGCTGGGTGGCACTTGAATTACCTCCTCCTAATGTGATCCCACTTCTGGAGAAGTCCTGGTTCCTTGTGTGGGATTGCCCTGGGAGTAAACAAAGCTCAGGACGCTTTGATAACTCATCATCATCATCGTGGAGCTGTTATCTACTCTCTAAATATTCAAATCCTTGTCAAGACGTACAGCACAGGTTAAATCCCAGCTACCTTTGCTGTTCCCATCCCAGCTGGGTGGGGAATCTGCTGGGAAGGATGCAGTGTGGTTAAAAACTGGGAATGCCAAGGCAATTCCTCAGAGTTTATCCTTGTTTGAGTCTGATGTGTGTGATTGTGCAGTTTGCAGAGCAGCTCCTTCAGCATTTTGTGCCGGGACCTGGCGATGCTGGAAATGAAGTTTTATTTTTTATTCCTCTTTTTTTACTAGAAGTACAACTTCCTAACTCTGCTGTGGGCTGAGCTCTCCACAAAGCTCTCTGCAGAGCATGGTGACATGCTGGCCCAGAGCACAGCACTGAGGGCTCCTGCATCTGTCAGTGCTGGCTGTGCCATCAAAGGGCTTTGCTGTCACTCATAGCTCCATGGGTTTTTTCTATTCCCTCTTTCTAAATTCATCCCTGGCTCTGACTCCCAATTAAAACCAGCAGGACTGAGGGCTTCACTCTGTCTCTGCTGCTGAAGGAGGTTCTGTGAGCTCTGAGCTTGGGTAGGGAATCTGATGAGATTTGGGTAGGGAACAGAGCAAGTGTTCAATCCTCAGAGAATGTCAGTCCTCCGAGATTTGATGAGAAAAGTGCAAAACCACGGGGAGAAAAACATGAAAACCAAGGCACTGCAGTGGGTTACACTTTTTGTTGGTGTTGGGTGAGGACTTCCCCACATGTCCTTTGGGGTACCCCAGCTTTGAAGGAGCTGATGGAAGTGGCAGGAGAAAGGCTGGTGGGGCTGTGGCAGCTGTGGGATGGATGCCAGCAGTGCTGAACGGGGGCTGTGGTGGGGAAAACTAAGATTTGAAGCTGGTGGAGAGAAGATCTCAGCTGGTGAATGCTGAGAACTGGGCAACCTTTGTCTCAAGGTGTTCAGCTGGGCAAACAGTAGCGTGGATTGTCTCTGGGTAGAGTGGAGTTGTTGCTGGGTGTTGCCCACTGACAGGGGCTCAGGAGTGGAAATTAGGAGGACAGGGCAACTTGGGAGGAGGATGGGGTAACCTTCCTCCCCTCCTGGTGCTGGGGCAGGTGCTGGCACCCTGCAGTGCCCACCTGGGACGAGCCACGCCACGGGACACGGTGTGAGGCACCAGGTTTATTCTCCTTTTCCTCTCGCCCGCTGCCATCTCCTTTTCCAGGAGTTAAACGCCTCTTCCCCCTGCTCCGAGCCTAATTGCGTCCCCAGGGCTTAACACGCGTGTGTTTGTTTTATTCAACGTGTTGGCTGTTCCCACCGGAACAGGCTGATTTTTCTAGGTTTTTTTTTTTTTAGGGATTGGGCTTTTTTTTTTTTTTTTTTTTTTTTTTTTTTTTTTGCTTATTGTGCACAACAAGCTCCTGCACAAGATATTCCTTGCGGGAGGAGGTTGGGGTGGGGGGAGGAACTGTAGTAATGCCAATACTTCTTGAATATTATAAACCTGGCTTATCAGCCCGACGCAGAGCTGGAATTTGTCTCTTCCTGTGCTGCATCTCTGCTTTCTGAGAGGGGCGTTTAAATACAGGCTGGAGACGCTGCCTTGCCAGTGTGCTCTGCTGGGCTCTGACAGCAGCATCGGGGCTGCTCCAGCGCCTTTGGGGTTTCTTTTATTACTCTTTTTTTTTTTTTTTAATTTTTTTTGCACTAAATCCTTTGGGAAAAAAAAAAGGAACTTCTCTGGGAGAAGGCTCTGAGACTGCATGTCCCAACAGTACGCGCTGCAGGAGGCGAAGGGAGACGCGGTTTGCTTCGTACCTGGCTCTCCTCTCTTCTCTGTCCTGATGGAGCCGGCGTCCTTCTGCTACCCCCGGCTCACCTTCCTGCGCTCGCCCTACGGCCAGTTCGGGGCCAGCGCCGGCTCTTCCCAGGATTTGGCCCCGTGGCCGCAGCGTTTGGTGCCGCAGAGGTGGAGCAGGCCAGTGGATGGTGCGTGCCCAGGGCTTGGAAGGGTTGGGACAGGGCAGCAGAGCAACCCAGTGGGGGTTTTGAGGAGGTTTTGGAGATGGAGGCAGCGCAAGGTGGGACTTGGAGGATGGGTTGGTGTGGTTGTGGTGATGCTCTCCTGGTTGCACAGTTTGGCCGCTGGCATCTCCACCAAGGAGCAGCTCTGGTCTCTGCTACACCCTGAGAGCTGATAAACAACCTCAGCGTGGAAAAAATTAAAAATAGAAACTGATCTGAGCCAGTCTTTTGTTTCCTGAGCTTGGTCGCTTGCTGAAATGGATCCGGCACCGCGTGAAACCTGAAATACCTGCTGGAGGCTCAGTGGGCTCGGTTCACCTATGGGGTTGTGATGCTGTCAGGTATCCTCTAAACTGTTAGTGAAGGTATCAGGTGTGGGGATAGAGGAAGGTTTGAAGATCTCCTATGCAGGTTTGTCTCACTATGAGGAGTTACCTTAAAAATTCCAGCTTGGTTAAAATCTTGCTTTAATGTAATACTGGGAGTTTGGTGGATACTGCTGGTTTAGGAGCTGAGCTCTGTAAGTGCTGATCCTAAGGATGGGAGTCTCAGCTTCTTATAAAACTTTTTTTGGGGAAGGTGTCTGGCTTGGTGAGGTATTGCCCTGTTTTCTATTTAAAGATGGAGCAAGGAGTGGGACTGGAGACCTCCAGGGGTCTCTTCCACCCTCAAACACTTTCTGAACCAGGCTCTACCTCCTTAGCATCTTATTGCCAGTCTGTGATGTGCCTTACCTGGAAAAGCTTGTCAGGTGGCATGGCAAGGGAGGAAAAAAAAAAAAAAATGGAGGAGACTGGCTGAGCAGTCTCAGCAGAGAAAAGGCGTGGGAGGTGTTTAAAAACACGCTTTGCCTGTGGTTCTGTGTGGAGGAAACGAGCCTGTGGCAGGGCCTGGGGATGGGGGCTTCTGGCTGCCTCTGCTGAGGGATGCCCCTTCCCTTCCTTGCTGCCTCCCCTTACCGTGCCCTGGGAAGTGTTTGCTGCCTCCTGGTAAATACCATCACCCCGAATTTTTTTACTGAAGTCACAGGGATTGCCAGAGTTACTGTAGTAGGGGAGTGACCCAGCCTTGCCAGCATTTGGATAATTCGCTGTTTATTTCTGTCTTACTCTTTTAGGGTTCTGCCTTTTCTGAGTTGATGTTGTTTTGGGGAGGTTTTTTGTTGTTGCTTTTTTTTTTTTTTTGGTTGTTGTTGTTGTTGGGTTTTTTTTCAGTTGCTGTTCTTGTTTGTTTGGCCAGCTTAGACCATTCCTCTGGGGTTTAAGTCTCTGGGGAAGACTTGGCTTATTGTGCTGGAAATCTGGAATTGTAAGGAAAGTGAAGCAGTGTAGAATAGGCTGGAGCAGGAGGAGAGGATGTGGCATCTTCCCTCCAAAGCTTTTTAGGCACCTCACGGTCCAGCACTGGCCACAGGCTGGGATTTAAGTCCCCTCGGATGAGGTGAGATCTTTCAGCTCTAAATTCTGCAACTTGCTGCTGGAGCACAGACTTGCTGCCCTGTTTCTCATTCCACTGCATGCATGCATTAACCCTTGCACTGCTGCTGCCGTGCAGCTGAGCTGGATGAAACACCAGAGCCCGGCAGGCACGGCAGCTGTATCTTTAAGGAATTTGCTCTGTCTCCCTCTCAGCAGCAGGTTTCCCCCCCCCCCCCCCCCCCCTCCTTTTCTTCATCCTCTGGCTTTCCCTGTACTACTCTCTGTAAGGTACAGCATCTTCTCACTTCAGCTTTGGCTGGCACAGAGCTTTTTTTCTTTTTTAAGGAGGCACAGGAGCTTTTCTCCATCCTGCATCCAGCAAAACTCTCCGGAGCGCTGGGTCGCTTTAACTACTCTATTTTTGCTCTTGGAGGCAAACGGCTCCGAGAGGTGGTGGGATCCGTCTGGCTGGAGAAGGGGACAGCCCAAATCCTTGGCTGGGCTAGCAGTGGCATGTGCAGAGGTGCTGCCCAGGTGTGGGCTTGGCAGAGCTGGGCTGGAGGTGTCCATCTGGGAGCTGATGGGTCGCACTCTCACTCCACCCATCCGCCGCTCGCCAATTGGAAGTGAGGGACAAAGATGCTCTGGATGGATTCATATTGGAGCCAGTGAAAAAGCAGGAGCTGCTGGCTCTGCCTCGGCCACCTGAGCGAGTGGCCTTTGGGGACAAGTGCTGGTGGCTCGGGGGGAGCAGCCCTGAGGGGAGCAGAGGCATTTCTCTCTCTTGGAGAAGTAGTGCAGGTAAGTTGTGGTCTTAAAACCCCCCCCTCCAAACTGAAGCGCTGCTGTTGCTGGGTGATGCATTTGGTCAGGAAATGTAAAAAAGCAGCTCTGCCAGCTCTTGAATTATTTAATTCACTAAAGTAAGGCAGTGCTTGATGTATTTTCTATGGGCTTTGCTGTGCTTAGTGATGATATCTATTGCCTGTGCTGGGTGTCTCTATGTTTAAGGATGGAGAATGCCTTTTGAATTCCATTTAAATGAACCGGAGCGCTGGCTGTCGGGGGTTTGAATTTAGTTTCAAGGTATGCATGGGGAGATGAGCACTGAAGAGCTTCTCTGTTCTGGTTTTTCTCTTAATTAATGGCAAAACATCCTCCCAGCCTGTCAGTGAGCTTTACATAGAGCTGTTTCACTTGGGGGAAGTGCAGTGCTGAGTGGAGACAAAATCATGTATGTAGTGTGTCTAAAATGTTCCCAAACATCATCCCTGGTGCTGTAGCCGTGGAAGCCTTGTAGATGAACCATAAACAACATCCTAATGAATAGCATTATCTCACAGCTTGTCAGTCTGCAGTTATTTCATCACTGGACTGGGGCATTTTAATTTTGGATTGACGACGGACTGGAAAATGGGATCTGGTGCTGCTGCCTCTCCCCCCACCTGTGTTGTTGTTGTTGTTGTCACTGATGTTGTTTTATGGCTCCTAAACGTGGCAAACTGCATGGGGGGATTTGTGTTATCCTGCTGCAGCTGGTGGGAATTGCAGACCCTGTTTCTGAGGCTGCAGAGTGCAGCTCTGTAGACATTTGGGGATCCTTTGGGCTGTTCTTGCTTTTTATGGCAGAGGGAGGTTTTTCTCTCTGAGTCTTGATGAGAAGCACAACTGAAAATGTGTTTGGTGATCAGGTGGCTGGGTTCAGTGCTCTGCTTCTGTTTCCAGTACAGACCCTGGGTTTGGGCCTAACTTCTGGTTTTCTGTGGGTTAGATCAGTTCCATCCAGTGCCTTTTTGGGGGGTGGTGGTGGGAAGGGATGCAGGAACAACTTTGCTGTAAAAGCCTGGCTCAGCCACTGCTGCCTTTCAGCAGCTGTTTTCATTCCTAGTGGCGATAAGATAGCAGGGGAAAAGAAACTTTCTAGAAATTCACTTTGTTCCAAAACATGACCCTGGTACCCTGGAGGAGGGAGGGATGTTCCAGAGTGAGACTGGTGCTGCTGCAGCATCTCCTCCACTTAACCCCCAAGAAAAGCTTATTCCCACCTGTTTACTCCTCCCTGCTGCTTAATTTTTACAGTATTTACACTTTAAACCCCCACAGGGAGCAGCTCCCACTCCCTGAATAACCCCAAGTCAGTGAAATGTTGTCAGACTGTCTCTTAACCATTTCTGCATGGTTTACACAGTGCCACTGCAGATAAGTGGCAGGTGGTGGCCTCTGGAAGACCTGCCTGTACAAAGAAGGCATTTCAGCAGAACAAAATATCTCAGGCATCTTTTAAAATCCATTTTCAACCCTAACCAAGGTTTGGGGCTGTTGCAGTATCTCTTTCTCTTTTGGATTAAGAGTGATGAGGCTTCTCATAGGGCCCTGCTAGGGAAAGAGCTGCCTGAGAAGCTGTCAGTAAGAGTTAATGCTTTCTAAATTATTTAAATGTTTCAGGAAAAGTCTGCTGAGGAGCCTCAACTGGCCTGATCTTGGGCCTTTGCCAGCTTGTGGCATCTCTGGAGGTGTTTGCTGTCTCTCCTCTCTATGTAGTGCTTAAGCAAGAAATCCTTGCAAGACTTAAATCACGTTTTAGAGGGTCCCACAAAACAAAACCTCCCCCCAACAAAACAAAACCTGTAAAGAAAACAAAATAAGAAAAAAAAAAAAAAAAGGTGGGGGGAGAATAGCCAGAATAGTCCAACAGCCAAATCCCAAAGTGTTGTTGGTGCCTTGCTGCTGACATGGTCCTGCTCACCTGTGAAATGCTGCCCAAGAAATGCAGTGGGTGAGGAGTGGATATCCTGCATCACTCTGGATTTGCAGGGTGGCTTCCTTTTGCAGCTCACCTCTGGGAGGCAGCCTCGGATATTAATTGTTTGGGTGGGCTAAATTGTGATGAGTCAACCTGGAGAACGTGGTGCTCCTGCTAAATCCAAACAGCTTTTTTTTTTTTTTGGTTGGGGGGGAGGTCTCTGGGAGCTGTCACTGCTGCACCCAGTGACTCTTTATTAGCTGGTTTTATTGCAGTGGGTGAGCTGGAGGAAGCTGGAGGGGAATTGTTCAATGCAGTGAGGAAAAGGCTTTGAAAACAGCCACGTCTGATCCCTGAGCCTGTGTGTGGGTGGGTGTTTGCCTGGCAGGGAGCAGGCAGGAGGATGCTTCCTGCTTTATCCCTTCAATATGATGCTTTATTTTCCCAGCCAGCCGCTGTGGAAATGAGTTCTGGGGTTTCATTTACCACGGTGCCCCATGGCATAACTTAAAACCTCCCCACACCATTTCCATGCTCAGAAGAATGTCCAGCTCCTTGCATATAATCCATGGTCTGAGCCTTGAGTGCCTGCTGAGCCTCAAAGCCATGGAGTTGTGTCTTCTGCCTGGACCAGGACTGGGATGTCATCCCACTCTGATGGAGGACACTGTTTAGATAAATCCATGGAGCAAAACTTTATATCCAAGTGACTCAGGATAGCCCTGGAAATGTCAGAGGACTGGTTTGTGTTCTCCAAAAATCACAGAAATGGGACATTTCCAAGGGGTGTGATGTTTAGTTTA